CAACAAAGGGGGGCACATCCCCCTTCTGGCAACCCCTGATGTATCTTTTTGGTTGGGGGCCGCGGCCGAAAAAGTGGTCACTTTTTTTAACAACATTTCTCAAACAAAAACAAGTGTTGGGGGCCTAAAATAAGGCATTTTTTCACCATTAGAGACAACAAAAGGGGGGGGGGGTGAAAAAGGCGTTAAAAGGCTTGTATATGAAGTTATGGGTTAAGGATATATGAATTGACAACCAGTAACTTAGTAAACATTCAGCCCCAATCATATCAGAATACTGCGGTTCTGTACTGATAGTAAAACCTGATATCTTTTGATTTTACAGCATGATAAAGTATGAAGTCCCCTATTTTTTAAACCTAATGCACACTACCACTTAAAGGGACTCCTCAGAGGTTTTTTTGACATGACGGGACTAGAAATAATTGTTTTGAGATTTATGTTTCATTTGATGTAGGTCTAGATCAATAACTTGTGTACAAAATTTCAGATCATTTGCTCACTCTGTTTTTTCTAGAATAATTATTTTAATTGTGAAAAATGACCAAAAAATGAAAAGCGTTGCAAAGTTTTTCACTTAAATCGGACCAAGAATAGCATTAAAAATACGATCTTTCTATGTATTTCTGAGCATATTTCCTAATTATCTTTTGCGTATTTGTCTGTTTAAATCTCCCAGCTGATTTGTGTAAGAAATTCACATTTTATGTATTTCGGCTTTTGGACCTTAGTGGAGTTCCTTTAAAACCTACATATGCATTTACACTAATCTTACCTGAAATGATAAATGTATTGAAGGAATTTAAGCCTGAAATAATCTCTGCAAATGTCATTATAACATTATTTCTTTCTGGTTCGTGATTTTTTTTTCTCTTACATTTTTGTTTCTGTTATGTTTTTTTTTTTGGCTGCTGTGTGAGTATTTTACGTTCGTTTCGTTCTTCCTTTCGTTCATTTGTTTGCGATCTACCCAGTTCATTTGATTTCAGTCGGGATTGCAGTTTCGTCGATATTTTTTTTATTAAAAGGCAGATTATGCCTTACAAATCTTTTTTTTTAATTCTTTAGAAATTTCAATCATGTTTTTTAAAAGTGTTTAAATAATGGATTTAGAACACGTAACATTTTGACTTACATACAAAATGCTAATTTACTATAACTTTGCTGATTTGTTTTGAGAAATAAAATTAATCTGAGGCATAATGGGCCTTTAACCGTTTATTTTCTATACATATATTTTTCTTTTGTGATATTTTATAAATTTATTTACATCTACATGACACAAATAAATAAACAACATTTCATCGCTTCTGTATTTATTTTGTTGTTTATATAAACAAAAAACCAATATGATAAATGTCTCTGCTTAAATGATTTATGAACTTTATTGCATTTTATCGTATGCACTTCATTAATGTGTAATTCGGCTGAGTACAATGTTATGTAGGTACGGCAAAAATGTAACAAATCGAAAAACTTGAGCCCCGATGATCTAACATACATGCAAAAACAAAACTGAACCTAAAATTCAAGCCAAAATTATATGTTTGTATTGCCAAACAGTAGATTTATTGCTGATAGGCCGATAATACCGCTTCACAATATCGCATTTTTATGGTGGCTAATTTCTGCCATTTCGTGTCTTCGCCACTCAAAAATCGTAACATTTTAGGCGAAATAACGATATTTTGAAGGGCGAAGGCATGGGATTTTCTTATGTCGGCGGGTCGATATCGTCTATATTTGTCGTGCCTTTGCCTCTCGCCTTTTCAGGCGAAAGATAATTGACCAATTTATCGAATCTTCGTGTTGTCGTGTCTTCGTCCCAAAAGTCGAAGACACGAAGATACGATATTGAACAATGCTTCGTGTCGTCATGTTTTCACCTTCCAGTAGACATGCGCAAAACAATTACACATATGCTGACTTTGAAGTAAACATAGTAAGCCGCGAAATGTTTTTTTCATCTACTAAATAATTTTTTTTCACAATTATGACCAAAATATTTTATAAATAAATTCATCGATAAAGTATGATAATTATTTGCAAAATATTTTTCTTACATTTTTACAGTTAACACATGTATCTTTGTCGAGTAATTGAAGAAGAACAAAAATTTGTTCCCTATGAAATAGAATTCACGTTCAAGGAATGGACAGTTCCTTCTCATAAAAAATGATTGATTAAACTGTTGTTATGAATTTATGTATGATATATTTTTACAAATTAGGATGTCGTGTATAGTTCAGATATCTCAAGGGAGAAAAGAAAAATATCTGAATGTTTCTTGAACGAAATGGAGCAAACACTAACGAAAAGAACATTATTTCTCGAAGTGATAAATATTGCATTGTGTTTTATTTATATTTTTATCTATTTATTTTTTTATTATTTTTTTTTTGGTGTGGGTGTGGGTTGGGTTGGGTTTTACGTCGCATAACACATTAAAGGTCATACGGCGACTTTCCAGTTTTACTGGTGAAGCAAGATCTCAAATGCGTGTTTGTGCACTATTTCAGGCACAAACGAGCACCTTAGTAGAACCAATGGCGTTCCGTGCGCTAGCTGGCATTAACAATTCTTTTTTTTTAACCGGGGAATTACCGGAATCGGCCTGTAATTTTGTTATTTATGAATTTTAAAGAATGTTCTGTCATCTTTTTTTTTATAAAATATAAACAATATAAATGATATTTGAAACATTTGTACAACAACCTATAAAGTAGAAAATTTAAAGTTTATTCGGCAAAATCGGCATTCATTTACAAAAAGAACACGGCATGATATTTACAAACACTAAATATACAATCAATACTGTCATGAAAATGTAAAATTGTATAGGTCAATCCACAACACTAGGAAAAGATCGTTCCCTCCCCCATCTGAAAAGCTGAAAAGTCGCGACATTAAACCAAACAAACAAAAATTAATAATTTATTAAAAGTTATAAAAAACTTAATAAAAAATGAATAATAAAATGCTATATTTATCATCACAAAAAAATGTTCATTTCTTCAGGGTTTTCTCTATTTCGATCAAGACACATTTATTTATTTTTCTTCCCTCCCTTGAGATATTTAAACTATTAACACCAATTTGATTTGCAAACAAGTATTAAATAGTTTTATTAATCATCTCTTTTTTGTGAGAAGGAACCTTCCATATATTGAGCGTGAATTCCATTTCGTAGGGAACAGATCTTGTTCTTCTTCAATAACTCGACAAATATTAAAATATCAACTGTACAAATGTAAGAAGAAAAATATCATGTAAATAATTATCATACTTTATCGATGAATATAATGATAAAATACTTTGGTCATAATTGTGAAATTAGATATTCATTTAGAAGGCAAAAAGATTATTTTGCGAAAATGGCTATATTCTACAGAATGCCGTTAGGGCCATCGCCTATGAATGGTTTGATCTGAAACGCGATACTCGACAGTACGATGGTGAAAACGCGAAATCACGAAACTACGATGGTGAAAACGCGACAGTGCGATGATGAAAACACGACAGTACGATAACGAAAACACGATAATACGACAGTACGATGATGATAATACGATAAAATTTCGTGTTTTCATCATCGTACTTTCGCGTTTTCACCATCGTAATATCGTGATTTCGCGTTTTCATCATCGTACTGTCGTGTTTTCATCATCGTACTGTCGTGTTTTTATCATCGTACTATCGCGTTTTCATCATCGTAGTATCGCGTTTTCATTATCGTAGTATCGCGTTTTCACCATCGTAGTTTCGTGATTTCGCGTCTTGACCATCGTACTTTCGACTATCGCGTTTCAGATCAACACATTCATAGGCGATGGCTCTAACGACATTCCGGAATGCCGTTAGGGTCATCGCCTATGAATGGTTTGATCTTAAACACGATTCTCAACAGTACGATGATGAAAACGCGAAATCACGAAACTACGATGGTGAAAACGCGACAGTACGATGGTGAAAACACGATAGTTTATCGCGTTTTCATCATCGTAGTATCGTAGTGTCGCGATTTCATCATCGTACTATCGCGTTTTCATCATCGTACTTTCGCGTTTTCACCATCGTAGTTTCGTGATTTCGCGTTTTCACCATCGTACTATCGACTATCGCGTTTCAGATCAACACATTCACAGGCGATGGCCCTAACGGCATTCCGTAATATTCCCACTATATGTGTACTTCAAAGTCAGAATATGTGTAATTGTTTTGCGCATGTCTACCGGAAGGCGAAGACACGACGATACGAAACATTGTTCAATATCGTGTCACCCACTTACGGGCCGAAGACACGATCGGTAAATTTTCGTGTCTTCACTTTTCGCCTTTCGACACGACAAATATAGGGCGCCGATACGAAGATTTCTTCCCGCCGATACGATAATTCTACAAAAGAAGATTATAATAAAAGTATCGTTATTTTTCCTTAAAGTTTTCGTGTTGGCGCCCTCAAATGTCAACGGCGAGGACACGGTAAGTGAGCATATCTTTTGAGTGGCGAAGGAAAAAAGACACGAAATGGCAGAAATCAGCCACCATACATATTGACTCGACTCTAAATGGCAACCTATTGCCCTAGTAGTTCCGGATTGGTATACTGAACGGGAAAAAAATCAGGACTTTAAAATCTGGGACATTATCTTGAGTTATGGATTAAGCACTAAATAAATGATAAGCGTTACTCAAAATTTCCGCTACCTGTATTTTTTTGATACTCACAGTTTGCAATGTATCTTTTGGTGATCTGTAAATATCATAGAAAATATTATAAATTAAATGGATTAAAGTCAAAATCAACGGATTGTTAATAAAAAAAACGTTTTGTATCAATGAAATATTTAATTTAAGCCGATTTTTAAACAAAATAATGAAACAAACTAAGGTAACACAGGTTTAACTTATTATTATTTTTTGACATATTTTAATTTTGTAGCGTAGTTAATACCGAAATACCGTATCTATCTGCGTATTCATGCTATTGTGTGGAAAGCGATTGCACACGTGTGTTATGTAACATTTCTATAGTCTCTCTATACATGCTGTATGCATTACTTTTTAGGTTTCAGTGTAGTGACATTAAGTAGCATCCAACAGATAAAATAATCATGGATGAAGAAAAAATGGAAGAGTTGGTAAAATTGGATATTAAAGTCGAGAATGACATTGATAATGATGAAAGTAGTACGGACAAAGATACGCTAGATGAAAGTGGTGATGCAGACTGGAATGAAAGGGAAACATGGGGTGGAAGATTCGAGTTTCTTCTTTCCCTTGTTGGATTTACCGTAGGGCTTGGGAATTTATGGAGATTTCCGTATTTCTGCTACAGGAATGGCGGAGGTTTGTGTTTCTATATTTTAAACATTGTTTTCATTTTTAGATCAAACCTGCATTGTACTGTTGATAACTTTTACGGCTTTCAGAAATCGGACGCCAGTCAAATTCTTATGCAGATCTTGCACAGTCACCACTTACCCTTAATAGTTTCGATTTGTCTATTAATCCAACACAATCAATAGATTTTAAATAATTTGATAACCGGAAATTTTTTTCATTCTTGTTAATTTTATTCAAGGTTATTTATTTCGATTTGTTTTTTACATAAAGTGAGGATATATATAGTGGTAAAACAATAGCGACATTCCAAAAAGGCGATTTTCGATTTTCTAACAGTTATTGTCTTGGAAGTTTAACACAGTCGAAGGATATATGCTCACACACGGGAAATTGCTAAAAATAAATGTACAACATTTTCTTGTCACACAACAGAGAATTTTTTATGAAGGCGAGAATGGCATGCATAAATGAATAGCAAAAATGTCTACTACTTGTTTTGATTGCATCAAATTGACGTTTAGTGTCGGCCTTCTTCGTAACATTCCATATAGAATATATATTTCAAATCCATTCTGACGATACGATTGATTTTAGATCATTGTTTAAAGACGCTCATTTGATTTATATGAAACACGGAAAATGCCGATCTTTGTCGAAAACATACGAGTTCTTGACAGCTGTTTATTTCAGTAATAAACTTTTTTTTCTAGAAAAAAATCTATGTATGTAATTTCAGGAATCGCCATTATTCCATTTTTCTTGTTTCTGTTGATATGTGGCGGTCCACTTTACTACATAGAAGTATGTTTGGGTCAGTTCTCCGGGAAGTCTCCCATTACCGTCTGGAATATATGTCCACTATTCAAAGGTTTGTGAACACGTTTTCATATTATAGTCATATAATAATAAATATTATGATTAACTTTAAAGGCACATTATGCCCCAGAAAAACATTTCTTTTTTAATTATTTAGAAATGTCAACTCTGTCTTTAATAATGTTTTAATAATGAATTAGGAGCATGTTAGATGTTTATCTCTACTAAAGAAATAGCGCTGAACTTGTAGTAATGTATCTTTAAGGTAGCAAAATGTAAACAAAGTATTTTGACTTCCATATTTAATACTAATTCACTATAATTATACCAATTGCCAACAAAGCAAAATCTGCAAAAGATAGTTAATGTATATGGCAGATGAGTTTTGTTTTAAAACTGAAATTAAACTGTTGCAGAAAGATAAAAATGATAGCATTTTTGAGACAAAGTGGGTCTTTAAATGGTGAAAATTCTTACGTCTGCTCCACTATTTTACTCTTCCTTTCAAAACTGTGTTGAAATCTGTGATTCAAATGATTTTTATGAAATTAATAAGTCACGTGACCTTATTCTAATCTTTATATAAGATAGTTACACAGTATTTCATATCATAATGAAAGATAATTTTGAGCCGTGTCATGACAAAACCAACATAATGGGTTTGCGACCAGCATGGATCCAGACCAGCCTGCGCATCTGCGCAGTCTGATCAGGATCCATGCTGTTCGCTATCAGTTTCTCTACTTGTAATAGAATCGGTAAGCGAACAGCATGGATCCTGATCAGACTGTGGATGCGCAGGCTGGTCTGGATCCATGCTGGTCGCAAACCCATTATGTTGGTTTTGTCATGACACGGCTCAATTATGAAATGAATATAACTGAAATTATTAACAGGAAATAAATTCCTATTTAAATTTCTTTTAATAAGTAAATAATAAAGTTAAATGAAAACAACCTATTCTGATACAATATCGAAATATGTAAATATTAATTGCAATTAAAATATGCAAATGTTGATATTTCCTGCACGTGTTATATGACTGTATATCTATAATTCACACAAAAATACCGTCGGATGACTCATTTGTGGACTTTTGAAATGTTGAATTTGGAAGCTGTTTAGCCAGCTGTCGCATTTTCGATGTTTTTACAGAGGAGCACGATGATACTGGGAGAAATTGTAAAATCAGAAAGAAAATATTTTCGCCAACTTTTCTCGTGCGCACAACTTAATTATCTCGTGCGCGACTTAGTAACTCGTGCGCACGTCATAATTTTTCGTGTGAACCAATTAATTAACTAATGCACACGACTCAGTAACTAGTGTGCACGACATAGTATCACACCTATTACTTCTGTGCCACCGTAGAACCAACATGTGTGATTCTATAAATAGCTTTTATTTTACGTAAAGTCTGGAATGCTTCATAACATTATGTTATGTTGTCCCAGGTCTAGAGTACCTTTTGTAGTATTTTTATACGTTATCATTTTTAAATATCATGTATCCTTAATATTGAAGCATTAAAGTTTGCATTTTTTCCTGTATTCAAATAAAGCAGGATGTCTGAAGCGATCAAATTACTGCTAAAGTGTACAATTTTGTTATCTTTACGACCTTGATAATTTACAACGACGTGAAGATATGCATTTTTTTCTCTTTTCATAAACTTATGTATGGTGGCCCTTTAGTACCATTATATTGTTTCGTGTATTATTGGACAAAATTACGGGCCTTTAATGATTATTAAACAGTGACAACTTTGTACACTTTTCGCGTTTTTCGCCCCGCCATATTACGCTAGTTAGTCAGCCGAAACGGTCTATGAAACTACCATTCGCGAACGAGGTAAAAAGAACACGTTAAACCATGAAATATAATTTTTTTACATACATCAACCGGGCACCTTAAAATAAATAAGTTGAAAATCATTTTTCTTTTTTCTTTCTTTCTTTCTTTCTTTCTTTTTTTTTGGGGGGGGGGGGGATAATCTTTGGCCGCTTTTTGAATAAAAAGCGTTGCAACGTTTTTCAATTTTGGCTCATTTTTCCCAATTAACCCATTACTTCATATACACGCCTTTTAACGCCTTTTTCACCCCCCCCCCTTTTTTGTTGTCTCAAATGATGAAAAAAAATGCCTTATTTAGGCCTCAAACACTTGTTTTTGTTTGAGAAATGTTGTTAAAAAAAGTGACTTCTTTTTCGGCGCGGCCCCCCAACCGTTTGAAGGGGGGCGGAGTCCCCCTCATCGCCAAGAAAATTTTGGACTTGTGAGAGGCTGTAAATGACCCCAGATTGATCATAAGGTAACGTGTAACCAACGCTGAAAAGCATTTGACTCTATCTCAATCCATTGAGAAGTTGCAGCACTTTAAAATCAATTTTGATGGAAAAATCAACGCAAAATAGTGATTTTTGGCAATTTTGAGATGTCCCCTCGTTGCCATGGTAACAGAAAATTTAAGCCTGAGCATGTTGTTGCAAGGGCAATGGTCCAGTCAACATTTGTGCCAAGTTTGATTAGTGTTGAAGCAGTTTTTATAGTATTATAGCAATTTGAACTTGTAACGGGAGACTTTTCAATGAAAACAGCCATTTTTCACAAAATGCTCATGAAGTAATGGGTTAAAGTAAGTATTCTGGGAAAACGGAGTAAGTGGATGAATTGTAATTTTGCTTATAATTGAACATAAATCTCGTACACTTATTTCTAGTCCCCTTATGTCAAAAAACCTCATTTGGGTCCCTTCAGTTCCAAAATAATTGTAATTGTTACTAATCAAGAGTATGCATCATTGTTATGAGTGAAATTTTTTTAAGATTTACTAAGCGTTGAAATAAAAACGATAAAAAAATGATTAAATTTCTGTACATTACTTTTATTAAAATAGTAAAAAGGAATACCTAAACGGTCGCCAAAAACAAGTAAAAATCCAAATGACGTTAGCTCAAATTTGTTAATAAAAATAAGTATATTATACAAATTTATGTTTGTTGAAGGAATTGGTCTTGTGATGGTGACTACATCTTTGATCTACGTCTGGTATTTCGGCACGGCGTTTGGCTGGGTATTCTACTTCCTGTTTATGTCTTTCTACCCAACCTTACCGTGGAGCACGTGCGATAATGCCTGGAATACAGAAAATTGTATAGGTAAAACTGTATACATGTATATTAAAGGCGCATTATGTTCCACAATTATTTTTGTTTATTTATTTGTTTGTTTGTTTATAAATTCATCAATTTATTTATATATTTATTTTTCATCTATTTATTTATTTATTTTTGTTCTTTTTGGAAACAGGTCAAAACATGCGTTTTATAATGTTGTAATAATGGATTAAGAGCATGTCAGATGCTTATCACGTGAAGGGCAAAATACTGAATGAATAATATTTTTGACAAAGTTAGTAAAATATTGTGACTTCCATACGAGATACTTAATCACTATGTCTGAACTATTTGCCAAAACGTTAAAGAAGAAAAAGACGGCTTATTTATATTGCCATATGTATTGTTTTGAACAAATAAAATAATAGCATTTTTAAGAGTTTTGGACCTTTAAACTACAATAAAATTTTATGTGACATTTTTCATTTTTTGTACCTTTTTTAATTGCATGCATTTTTGTTAAAATGCGATAATTGAAAATTTTCAAATTACAATTCGTCATAATTTTTAAATCGACTTTATTTAAAAAAAAAAAACAAATACGTCTGGTGGTGGTGTGATGTTGTTATTGTTGCGTTTGTTGTTGATTTTATTTTTGTCGTTTTTTTTAAATAGCCGATGTTGGACTGAAAAACATTTTGCAATTTTATAAGTTTAATATCCTAAAATTTGATTACAGATTCAACTACAAACATTACAGCAAAATTACAGAATGTGAGCTTGGGAACACAATTACGATCGTCAGGAACGGAATTCTGGGAGTAAGCTGGTATTCTTTTTCAGTAACCTATCAATTTGTACTACATGCAGAATAGCTTCTTTCATTTTTACACACTGAGATTTTTGCAGCACCACTCATATTTTGACTTATATGTCTGAAACTTAAATCTAACCACGCTAAATATAATAAATTGACTAGTCTATCTTTTGATTCGCACAAAACCATTTATGATATTTAGGGGGAGGGGGTAAAAATATAGTTTGGCTGAATTGGGAACTGTGCAGACTATGATCACGGTTGCCAGGGGGGAAAAGAAAATATTTTGACTGAATAGAGCACACAACAGTCGACACGGTTGTGCCGGCTGATCTTGGTCAGCAGACGACTGCATTATAGATGACTTTGATCTTTCTTTTAAACGCAGCAACTGAGTTGCGGAGTAGATTCAAACCATGTCAGGGGCAAGCCGTTGTTTTCTTGAGCAAGACACTTTACATTCATTGCTGGTTTGTTCCAGGAACGGATTCGAGAGTGTTTCAATTAGCTTATAGCTTCCAACACAAACAAACTGAAATAAAATAGTATAAACTAGATACAGCACCTTAAATTTAAAGAACTAGCTTAAATTGAATTCTTGAGAATGAAAAGAAATACTCAAAAAGCCATTTACCTTTTTTGTTTTACAAAGTTTGTTTTACACATGTACTTTATAATGTCAACTACAATTAAAGAAGGGCGTTTTAATTTATTTCTTTTTGCAGACGAAACGTTCTTGGTTTATCGTCTGGAATAGAAGAACTTGGATCAATACAACTTCACCTTGTCGGGTGTACGTTCCTCGGTTGGCTGCTGGTATTCCTTTGTCTTGCGAAAGGTGTAAAATCTTTAGGAAAGGTAAAGTCGCTTTACTAATCGCGAAAATATTTTACAATAAAACGCAGTACTATTTGTTCAATAGCGCTTCACTTGGACACTTTAACTTTTATTTTTGAATTTCTAACATGGACTTGTCCAGCTTCAATTTCTTGAATGATTTGTGATGTGAAGATGAAACTTTGATGTAGGTCAGCTTACCGTATACTGTAGAGCTTGATCGATTTTTGCCATGAGATATTACTTTTTTTAAATCATTACTGTCCAGACTGCGATTTTCAAATATTGTTGTTTCCTTTAATATTAAGAGATAGACACACTTCCTGCTCAGAAATGATATCATATGAATATGATATGAATTAATATTTTATCAATTATGATATCATATTTATAAGTATATGATATTTATCATATTCGCATAGTATGATATGATACTTTGTTATAATGTATGATATCATAATTATATGGATATGATATTTTTATTGATATTATCGTAATTATATGGATATGATATTTTAATGATAGACCATGTGGTATGATGTGATATCTTTATTATTTAAAATATCATAATTACATATATTGATATGATCTTTCTATGATATACATGTAGCATGATATGATATTTTTATGATATATGATATTATAGACATATGGATGTGATATCTTTATGATAAAAAATGACAAGAGATTTTTTTATTTACAATATCATAATTACATTTTATGATTTATGATATGATATGTTAGTTTTATGATTTATGATATCATAATTATATGGATATAATATTTTTTATGATTTTTTTTTTTAATTTATGATACCATAAATATATTTTATGATTTATAATATGGTTTATGATATGATATATTGTATGTTTACTTACTTTCATCAAGGTCGTGTACGTGACGGCAACGTTACCTTATGTTTTGTTACTGATATTACTGGTGCGTGGAGTCACTCTGGACGGGGCTTGGATTGGTCTGCAGCTTTACGTCATCCCAGATTTTAGCAAACTTGCAAACGGAAAGGTAACGTACAAAAAATGTTCTTGAAAAGCTAGATAATAAACTTAATTGTTTCTTGCGCGAAAAAAAATGTTGTGTTCCTCTTAGCTTTTGAACTAGCACATAATGTTCTTCACATTTTACTGACCTTTACTTCACATTAGAATAACAATGTTTTAAGCAAATTGTATCAATGTTCTTTATGTTTTTTTTAACATGACGGGACTGGAAATAATTTTTCATGATTAATGTTTTATTTGATGTAGAACTTGATCAATTACTTATGTGCAAAATTTTAAATAATTCGCTCACTCCGTTTTACCAGAATAATTATTCTAAAATGTCGCAATGCTTTTCACTCAAATCGGGTAAAGAATAGCACAAGACGTCAAACCACTTGCCCCTCACCGCTGTGGGTTTGAATCCCGACAGGGACTTTGGATTCTTTCATGTGAGGAGCTATCCAGCTAGCTTACGGAACGTCGGTGGTTCTACTCGGGTGCCAGTTCGTGCCTGAAATAATGCACGGAGGGGCACCTGAGGTCTTCCTCCACCAGTAAAGCTGGAATGCGCGATATGACCTATACTGTGTCGATGTGACGTAACCCCCCCCCCAAAAAAAAAGCACAAAAATACAATTGAGCCGCGTCACGACAAAACCAACATAATGGGTTTGCGACCAGCATGGATCCAGACCAGACCTGCGCAGTCTGATCAGGATCCATGCTGTCTCTACTTGTTATAGGGTTTGTAAGCGAACAGCATCGATCCTGATCAGACTGGGCGGATGCGCAGGCTGGTCTGGATCCATGCTGGTCGCAAACCCATTATGTTGGTTTTGTCGTGACGCGGCTCAATTTTCTATTTATTTCTGAGTATATTTCTTAATTATCTTTGTATTAAAAGCCCCCAATTGATCTATGTAAGAAACTCATTTTTAACGATTTGGATATCCAGTGGAGATTCTTTAATTTTTGCTTTAAAGCATAACGTCAGAAAGGATTATTTTTTACAATTGAAACCAGAATTTTTTTTATTTTTTCTTCCTTTTGTCCTTGTTTTGAGCTATACATATATATTGGGCTGCAAGTTTTCAATAATTTTTATTTGTTTTAAGATGTGGATAGAGTCGGCAATACAGTGTTTTTACTCACTGGGTCCGGCATGGGGTGGTTTGATTACTATGGCCAGCTTCAACAAGTTCAACCATAATGCCTTAAGGTACATGTATATTTTTGTTGTTGTTGTTGTCGTTTTCTCTTCTTTTTTTTTCTTTTTTTTTGGTTGATACACAATTTATTTGAGTTCGATTGTGTATGAAGCTATAAGCTTATAGAAACGCTTTCGAATCCGTTCCTGGTACCAACCAGTTTTGAACAATGAATGTAAAGTTTCTTGCTCAAAGAAACAATGGCTTGCCCCTGATGGCGTTTGAACCCTCACGTCTAGCGATCCTTAGATTAACATCGGAACGTCCTCGGCTATTATTAATAATAATTATTCGAAGACTGACGGAAAGGGCCGAAAGTTTGCGACATTACTAGTCTGACGCCATGACGCTACCTTTTTTCTGACTTTCTTTCAGTGGTTTTCGTTGTTTCTTTCTTGTTATGGATGTTGACTTGGTTTCATTCTTTTCTTTTTCTTTTATTTTTTGTTTTATACTTAATGTCGCTTAAGTAATTCAATTCGATGCTTCCTTTATTGTGCTTTGCTAGTCTTATATAATAAAACTCTTATCTTTCCCATCTCGTTAGACATGCAAATTGTGTAGTTTAAGTGAAATATATGTATGCTTTGCTTGATTGGAAAACTTGGAAAGCATATATTTTGTGAACATGTTCCACAGTACAATTTAGTTTTCTTTTTTATTCTTTCTTTTCGTTTCATTCTACTTTTTTAACTTTTCATAGTTAACTTTACATTGTTATTTTCATTAACTTTAGGGACACAGTTATTGCGTGTTGTGCGGACGCTTTCACTGCGTTTTTAGGTGGTATAGTTGTGTTTTCCGTGCTGGGGTTCTTGTCAAAGGAAACAGGGACATCTTTAGATAAACTGCCATTCTCAGGTAAGACTTTTTTCAATTTTAAATATAAACTCTCTCAGTTAGTTACTATTTGAATAATAAAGCTGAGCTTTCCTTTTCAATAGCGCACTGGCATTCAGCTTGGTAGGAGAATCTTTTATGATATTAAGAAATGAAGCATGAGCAAGCATTAGCAATATTGTATTTCTGTGCAACCAAACTACATTTTGTTAATGAAATTGCCATATGTTCTATAAATAGCCTTCGCTTGGTTTCGAACAAATTTATTTCATTATATTCACTTGATAATCACCACTTGCATTTCTGTATCTACATTTAATGTCTTAGTTTTAAAATTAATCAGGGAATGGTCATTATATCTATTTAGAAAGCAGCAAAATCCTGCTTGAGAATCTGAAGAAAATATTCGTATCTGCACGAATGCTGCACGTTTGTAACGGCGATTTTTATTGGATAGTCGTGAAGTTTATATAATCTATATACCAGGCTGGTTCAAATTTCCAAATTCATATGAATTTGTTTAAGTCAGAGGAAACAAATGTGCAGCATTATTATTTTGTTATAAAGACTTATGACAGGTAATATGACCGTATATAAACGACTGTTTGCTATAGTAAATATAACCCGCGCCTCACAGTTTGGGTAACATAGGAGCAGTAGTCCAGTGGTAGGACGCGCGCTTAGGGGTCGAGAGGTCCCGGGTTCGAACCCCACCAGGGGCACTGCTAATTTCCTTGAGCAAGAAATTTACCTGCGATTGCTTCACTTCACCCAGGTGTAAATGGGTACCTGCGAGGGTGGTATAATTCCGTTGCGCCAAAGTGTCGGCTGCACTAAGCGGAGTTAAAAGACTCCCCAGGGAGATTGATAGATAGATACCAGTAGCCCGATGACCAGGGGTAATAGCTGTAAAGTCGGTGAACGTGCGTAAGCATGAAACTTAGGACTATAAAATGCAATTACATATAAGCTAAAAGCCGTTTTATTTGGTTATATAACCTATCTTTGTAACTAATGACATGTTCCTTTTATTTGCCATATTTTTACAATGTTATTCAATTGTAGGAGCGGGCTTAGCGTTTATAGCATACCCGGAAGCTTTGAGTCGTCTGCCCGCGCCGAACCTTTGGTCCGTGTTATTCTTTACAACACTTGTTTTGGTTGGAATTGACACGCAGGTTTTTAAATAAATTTCTGATGGGAAGAATTCACCAACATTTTTTTTTCAAAAGCGGTGCAGAAAAGTTTCCATTTCATTTTGCTACTTCCAAAGGAAAATCGCATTTAATCTATTTTTCTTAATACAATTTTGGTATATTCTGTTAATTCTGTCATTTTTTCATTTCGATTTTTTTAAGTTTTAACCTCATTAATAAGTTCGTGAGCATTCGGCATATTTCGGCATTTTCGGAGATTTAAGAACACGTCTAAATTTACGTAAATTAACGGAAACCGCCGAATGTTAACGAACTAAAGGCAGACGAAACGCTTTAATGGTGGCGATTGTCTGTTCAAAATGCATTCATTATTATCTCATTCACATTCCATAAGACGAATTTATTGAGTTGAGGCGTTACACGACAAGAGTGGTGAATTGTCCTTGAAGACGGGTTCCCTTTATCATGTTTATTAATTTGTATTACACAAAGGGCTAAAACATGTTCTCTTTAACAACGAAACCATTCATAGGATGTCACACCATGGGCGTTACTCAAGTGTTTTAGCAAACATAACTCTAGTAGTGTTTTAGCCTTCCTACTTTTGGTGCTAATTACTAACTTGTTTTCATTTTCTGCTCACTTGAGAACAAAGTGCTCAGCGGAGAACTTTTTGTGATGGCAGTGTGTCCGACATTCGTCGTTCTAGTGTTCAAGTATTATTCTAGAGCATAAGTAGGTCATAGGAGCTTACAATTGACTCTAAATATGATTTTTTTCGAAAATTTCAGAAACTACAATGCATAGAGCTTAGATGTTTGGCATGTAGCATCACCATGTGTTTTCTCTACAAATATTATATAAAACATGCTCCTGTGGTTAAAATTGCCCGTCCTAAGGGTCACTTAGTTTATAAAGGAAAGTATATTGCAAAACTGAAATGCCTAGTCCTTAGATATTTGCATTACTATTAGACCTCTTAAACGCTGTATTGGATTGAAAATAGCCATGCCTTGTGGGTCTCTTAGTTTTATAGTAAATATGTCTAAACTTTCCTCTCCGCAACTGCATCGCCCAGAGCTTTGATATTTGGCATACATCATCACCTTGTGGTTCACTTATCATCATGCCCCTGGTGTCAAGATAAGCCCTGTCCCAGGTGGTGCTAAATAGGTTACAGACAAACTGTATATATATAAGAAAGCACTTTAAGTCTTCTGGTACGAAACAATATTTTGGCATGTAGCATTGGTTTTTGGCATGTAGCATTACATAAGTGAAAAAAAAAATTATTCTCCTGCGATAAAAAAGAAAGTCTTTGATCTTTTATTTTCAGCAGACTTATATACATAATTTAAGTCTTCTTGTGTGAAACAACAATCCCTAGAACTTTTGTATTTGGCATGTAGTTTTTCCTATCAAACATTTACAAATGAATAAGAAATTATGCAGCAGGGGTCAAAAATGACAACCTTATGTGACCTTAATATTAAATACTGATTTTTGCATTTAGGAATTGCGACCTTTCCAAACAATCTCAGGTGAGCGATCCAGGGCCATCATTGCGCTCTTGTTTTTTTCTTAATTTTTGCGATACTTTGTTACTTTCTACGTCAGCGTAAGAATCGCCAAGTCTCTCTGCATTTATTTAGAAGTCGGCCTTTATGGGGTTCGAACCTGCAGATTATTCTATTCATATGACTATAATCATTTATTCTACTATTCTTTGAGAATAGTTATCTTCATGTACTAAGTAATTATTTTCATGGAATAGTCCGGAAGTATACAAATCCTGAAGACGAGGGAGAAGACGAGAGAAAAAGAATTCATCAACTCATCGAGTTTTAAAATTTTCTTAACAAAAAAAAACATGGATAAAACTAAAGATTGCCGAAATGTTCAGAGTCCGAAAAAGAAACTTTTCTCACCAATATCATTTATTAATATACTAATATCAATATAAACGACTAACTGAAGCACAGTGCGTTTTTGTTTTAATTTAATAATTTTTAAAGAAAAGTTAATATTGTAATTAATAAATGCCATTTCAGTTCGGTATATTTGAGACAGGAGCCAACGCGTTAATCGACCTGAATTACAAGAAGTTCAGTAAATACCGGCTATGGATCTCAGCAAGCCTTGCCTCAGGTCTTTTCCTATTAGGTCTACCATTTACTACCTCAGTAAGTTCAAAACTTTCTTTCTCATTATTCACGTGCACACCATCCATAAGTTCGCGAAAATTCGTAACATTTCATCACTTTCCGTATAAATTATTGTAAAGCTCATAAAGCGTCCGTGTAACATGGAGCAACACATGATCTCAATCATCTGAATCGCGTAAAGGAATTTTTCGAATGTTCCCGACCTTTTTACGATCCAATATCTTGTATTAAATCAATACATTTATGACGATGGAGATTTTATGTGCCTTATGAATATCTAAACATCGCCAAAAGAGATCAAAATTTAAGTTTTTTAATGGAATCATTACATAAGATTGAAAGGTTTAAAAGCGAGAACTGCCATAACAATATCAGCGACAAGTTGTGACCAAAACCCTTGCAAAAATATCATTTCAAAAGAGTATTCATATTCTTTATTTTCATTATCTACAGGGTGGTTACTATATATTTATGCTGATAGACTGGTATGTGGCTATGTTTGGTATTGTATTCACAGCTCTGCTAGAATGTGTCGTTGTAGCCTGGATATATGGTAAGTTACCGTTGTTCCTCAATCTCAAGATAATGATCGTCTTCGTTATTTGGGACAATCTCTACAATAACCTCTGCACAGTGATCCCCCTTCAATAACCGACAGAATCTTTACAGAGTGATCCCCCTTTCATAACCGACATAGACCTCTGCCACCAATCTCTACACAGTGATCCCCCTTTAATAATAGACATAGACCTCTGCCACCAATCTCTACACAGTGACCCCCTTTAATAACCGACATAGACCTCTGCCACCAATCTCTACACAGTGATCCCCCTTTAATAACCGACATAGACCTCTGCAACCAATCTCTACATAGTGACCCCCCTTAAAATAACCGACATAGACCTCTGCCACCAATCTCTACACAGTGACCCCCCTTTAGTGACCGACATAGGCCTCTGCCACCAATCTCTACATAGTGATCTCCCCTTCAAATAATGTCATAGAGCAATGCCGTTAATCTCTTCACAGTAATCTCTCCCTGTTACCAATCTCTATATAGTAATCTCCCCTTCATTACTCGACATAGAGCCCTGCCATCAATCTCTACAAAATAATCTACCCTTCAAAAACCGAAACAATCTCTAAACAGTTAGCTCCCCTTCACAGAATTTTGCCAACAATATCTACACAGTGACCTCTACTTCATTTAACGAAAATAATCTCAACATAGTGATATTTCTTTCCATAGTACATTGTTGTATTTTATAAATTTAGTATAAAAAATGTTTTTGAAAATTGCTTTATCGTTACATCGTCATATTTTCGCGTTGCACCATGTCAGATTTTCAATGTATTATATCTAGTAAAGAAATTATGCATCGTGTCAAATTTTTCTATAGTGGCATGTCAAACTTGCAAAATGTTATGTCAGATTTCAGCGACATAATAATCATGCTTTAATGGTTTAATGAGTGGTATGATAATCTTCAAATATATATAATGTCAGACGTTAACTACATGAAAACATAATGCTGTGGATTTTTTTTACTTCATGTCGGATTAAAACAACACATGATGCCACGTTTTATAAAAAAAGATGTCAGATTTCTGTCAATAGTTTATGTCCGAACGCAGTCTCTATTTTATGTGAGATTAAATCTATATATATAGTATGTCAGGTTACTAACTCTATGTGATGTCAGATTGAGAAGTAAAGCTCACACAACCCAGGGTGATAGGTCTTTAAGAGAGTTGTTATCGCAATAAAACCCACGGTGATAGCCTCATGGAATAAATCAAAGCTCAAGCAACCCAAGGTGATAGGCCTTTACGAGGTTAATTTTCACAATAAAACCCAAGGTGATAGCCTCATGAAATAAAGTAAACCTCACACAACCCACGGTGATGGGCCTTTAAGAAGGTTCTGATCGCAATAAAACCCATGGTGATAACCTTATTGAATAAAGTAAAGATCACACAACCCATGGTGATAGGCCTTTAACGGTGTTCTTATTGAAATAAAACCCACGGTGATGGCCTCGTGGAATAAAGTAAAGTTCACACAACCCACGGTGATAGGCCTTTAAGAGGGTTCTTATCGGTATAAAACCCACGGTGATAACCCCATGGAATAAATTAAAGCTCACGCAACCAACAGTGAAAGGCCTTTAAGAGGGTTCTTAGCGGTGATAGCCTGATGGAATAAAGTTTCTCTCTATTTTATGTCAGATTGTATCTATATATTATGTCAGATTTCTATCTCTTGTTTATGTCAGATTGTATCTATATATTATTTCAGATTTCTATCTCTTGTTTATGTCAGATTGTATCTATATATTATGTCAGATTTCTATCTCTTGTTTATGTCAGATTGTATCTATATATTATGTCAGATTTCTATCTCTTGTTTATGTCAGATTGTATCTATATATTATGTCAGATTTCTATCTCTTGTTTATGTCAGATTGTATCTATATATTATGTCAGATTTCTATCTCTTGTTTATGTCAGATTATATCTATATATTATGTCAGATTTCTATCTCTTGTTTATGTCAGATTGTATCTATATATATATTGTCAGGTGCGGATCGTTTCTCTGATGATATAGAGATGATGACGGGATCTCGGCCATCTCAGATACTCAGACTCATCTGGTGTTTCTGCATTCCAACATTTATAGGGGTAACTATCAAAATTTTGTTCGTGTAAAGTCGGCAATTTCCGTTACTACTCGTATTACTTATTTAATAAGACATCGATTTGTCAGTATATCAGAACCTTGACAGTTTGAATACACAAGCCTAAAGATTTAAAAAAATATACCAAAGAAGCGAAACATTGTTGATTTTTATTTTTTTCCCCAAAAAATAACGAAAAATATGCTGAATGCTGAATAAAAGTGGTGGAAAGTTGGTGTACATAATCTGATATACGATTAAATAGCGATAATTTAAACTCTTTCTTCCTATCAATTATAAGAAATGTCTTTGAATTACAAATGTACTCGTATCATATTCATCACTGTTTCTTTTTTATTTTCTTGGTAGCAGTTTCGTAACAGAAGAAACATATAAAAACAATATTGGTTCATTCTATAGTTCTTCTAAAAATGTGCTTATATCTTCATTAAAATTACAATTTTCGTTTTATTTTCAGGGTATATTACTTACAACATTATCAACATATTCAAACTCGACAATTGGCTATGATTACCCGGTGTATGCCATAGTTATAGGAAATATAATAGCCTTTGGACCTTGTAGTTTAATTTTCATTATTGCTATTGTCCAGCTGATCAAAGCAAAGGGAACTCTTTATCAGGTAAAAATACCGTATCATTATCTTTTCATCTAATTCATGAACCTAATTCAAACATAAACAAATAAAGGGCAATATTGCACTGATCGTTTTCTTAGTGAAAAAAAGCCTCTCAATTGATTTATGGTATAAATGACATAAACGTCCTGAAAAGTGTAGCACGACTTAAAGCGCATGGGTGGAAAAAAACAGCCCAGTAAACTGAAAAGGGCAAATCTTCAAAGATGGGTCTGTAACATCACTTCCTAAAATTCCAGCTTTCATACCAATGTAGTATATTCAAAAATATTGAACAAGTTTTAATCTTTGTATGTTTAATCATTACTTTCCAAAAGATAAAATAAATGAAAATAGACGCAGAGTTTTATTCGATTTCTTTAGTGAGTAATGTTTTATTAGATCGTTTGGAGACTTTGTCTCATCCGTTTTTCTCACATTTCAGAGGTTAAGCCACCTGCTTCGACCTGACGAAACATGGCTGCCCAATGACAACAAGAAGAGGCAGATCTATCGCCAGTTTCCCTATCGTTATGAAGATAGGCTTGAAGGACGCTTGAAAAGAAATGTGCTTGGTCTCAAACAACAGTGATAAATTCCAAATTTGACAAATTATTTCTTTTTCCGTGTCTTAAACCGATAGTGTAAGCGTCGAAATGACCTTGAACAAAAATTCAATAAAGCGCCGTTAGGACAAACAGCAGCTATAGTGTTAAATAAGCGTCTGTTTGACAAGAAGAGCAAATAACAAGCGTTGGTGTGATAAAGAAGATCAAAATATGCGTCTGAATTTACCAAGATCAAGAAAAAACAATAAAATTTAGTTTTAAGAAATAGAAACTGTTATCATACTGTATCAACAAATATGAGGTACGAAACTATGGAGGGCGTTCGTTGCCAAAATTCCAGACATGTAAAGTGTTCCTTTTTAAAATGACTTTTGAAAATGCGAACTTGTATGCCTACCATTTTTATTATATACCTCTTAATTCAATCTTTAAATTGAAGGTTACCGCCTTTATATAACAAGTTTACATATATATCGTAACAACTGACCCTAACATCTAAAACGACAACAAATTTACAAGTTCGTATCTTCCATTGCATGCAATACATATGCATGTTTGCACACTTATAGATCTGAAATATACAAATGAAACGTAAAACTCGAATACGAAAAATAGAGTTTAAGAAAACGTGTTACCAGTTGTAGAACTACAAGAGTACGTTAACACAGTAACATGTTTAAAATGACAAAAGTAGATTCACAAAGCTAAACGATTTTAAGTCAAGCATAACACCCCGCCTCTCTCGGAGTATTTACTTCTATTGCGGACAGGTATAAAACGGCGCCTCTCCCATATTCTTAAATAAAACTGAAGGACAACATACGGCATTTTTCATAACATATATATGTTACATTTGTTACTAAAGTTTTGTCACTAGCAACATCACTTGAAAATTGCTGATTTTTCTATTTATGATGAAGATAACTTATGCATTACCTTATTATTTAACATCGTGTTCTTATCAGTTACAAATTATTTATCATTTTAGTGATTAGCCTGTCCGTGCTCTGCCTAGTGCCCTGTCCTGTGTTTTGTTTTGGGTCCGCCTGGGCTTCTTGTCACTTGTTCTTGTTGCTGGGTCATGTGTGGTTGCGTTCATTGAGCGCCGCCTTTCCTTGTTGATCTTGTTTATCATATATTCCTGAGAAACATCGGCGATTTGGAAATTTTTAGGGGAAACAATGACCAACTTCAAGGGAGTAATTTTATTGATAATGTAAAAAACATCCAATATTCTTATTGGAATCATTGAAAAATGTATTGGCACAAATTTCATTTTCATCAAAAACTATGCAAGTATATTTTAAAGCGACCACCGAGATTTCCTTTCCGAAATCAAGAAAATACTTATCCGTAGCACATATGTAAAATCTTTAATAAGGTATTTCCAGTATGAATAAAAACTTTTTGCACTTGTTCATTATCCCTCATGTACAGACTCAATCAAACCGAGTCTGTAATTCTTATGTAATTTTGTAGTGCTTCCGATGGATCACTTTGTTTCCAGATTTTTATACTTCACAACAGCAGGTGTCAAGTGCCGTGTGACAGCTGTAAAAAGTTGCCTCGTACTTCACTTCAGTGTTGTTATATTTTTCTGGTCTTTCGGGATAATTGATGCCAGCGCTATTATGTGTTGAGAATTGAGTACCGTTCAAGCCGGTGCTATGGGGCGTGAGGCATGTTGCACTTGTTCATTATCTCTCATGTACAGACTCAATCAAACCGAGTCTGCAATTCTTATGTAATTTTGTTGTGATTAATGCTTCCGAGGGATCACTTTGTTTCCAGAATTTTTTACTTGAGTCTAAAATTATCAACGCCGCCTTTCCTTGATGATCTTATTTATCATATTCTAAAATTGTCAAAATTGACCAAGAAATAAAAAAAGTAAGTAGGGGGCGCCATATTTCTCTTACTGAATTTCAGAGTGTGTTTTGTTTTAGTTTTTTTTTTTACTTGGGGTCATATGCCGTTTTTCATGGTATGGCACTTACGTGTCACATTGAAGGTTTCATGATAATCGCCATATTAACACATCTGCGGATGTTTCAACATTCAAAATTGTACCTGTTCATGTTGAATTTTGCTTAAGCCGTTGCTAGGGGGCGTGGACGATAACTTGCTCTTTCCATTACCGTCCATGAGCAGGCTCAATCAAACCGGGCCTGCAACATTCTCAATTTTGTCGTTTTGAGCGTTCTTTAGGGGTTCTTATTTTCTTTATAATTATATATCATAAATCGTATGAAGCACACTTTTATTTCAATCCAAAATTATCAAAATATATTACGAAATAAAACAAAAGTTTGGAGGGAACGCCGTGTTTTTCTTACCAATTCGAGAGTGTTATTGTCAGAGTAAAAAAACAAAAAAATCAATACATCTATTTAATTCATTTTTATTTCCGAGGCACTCATAGAAAGCTTATGGAGTAATCTTTCATTCATACCAATAATAGAACTTTTTATAGAAATAAAAAAAGTTAGAATGGACGCCGTGTTTTCCTTCACTTTATTGAGAAATAGGAGAGAGGCGACGGGTATTATACCTGTCCGTACATTTCCGTGATAGAAGATCGTAAATACTGAGAGAGGGGCGGGGCGTCATGCATGACTTAAAATCGTTTAACTTTGTGAATCTACTTTTGTCATTTTAAACATGTAACTGTTTAAATGTACTGTTGTAGTTATACGACTGGAAACACGTTTTATTAAATTATATTTTCTGCATTCGAGTTTTACATTTCATTTGTGTTTTTCAGGTACTGATATATATCTACAAGTGTGTAAACATGCTTATGTACTATATGCAATGGTAAATGTGTGTTAGGTCAGTTGTAAACTTGTTATTTAAAAGCGGGAGACTTCAATTAAAAGATTGGATTAAGAGGCATATCATTTGCTGTGCACGAATGCAATCAAAAATGCTAGACATACATGTTCGCATTTTCAAAAGTAGTTTTCAAAAGGAACACATTACATGTCTGGAATTTTGGCAACGATCGCCCTCCATACGAAACTAACCAAACGTGTACAGTTGTTGGTGGTTTTATAACCTAAAATGAAATCTTGTTACAAGTAAAACTAATATTCTTATTTCATTTTTAAATTAACTAGGTTATATGAAGATTGTCGAAGTTAAAAAAAAATTTGTTTGACATATTAAATCATAGTCATGCATGCTCATACTGCAAGCTCGCCCATTCAATTTTATCACAAAATTTATTATATGTACAAAGATATTTTCTCTTAAGTGGTTGCATTCGGGTGAACGATGTTTGACCATTTTCGTGGTCCTCTTGTGAAATTTATAACTAAACATTTTTGCATCCATTTTAAATCCATTTTCATACAGTTTTGTCACCGAATGTTATGTTGAAATAGTAATACATGTTCTTTTCTAGGACAGTTTAGGATCATTTCAACGTATTTTCATAATTTAGAATACAGTTTCTTTAAATAGGTATTGTTAAAAATTACGCTATTTCTTAGTTCAAGTGACATAATGCTTATATTTTCAATGTCAAATTAAGCTTAACTGACTATAAATTTCAAAAGATTGACTATTATGATGGTGTTTGACCAACAGTTGGTATTAGAAAAAGTTTTGGATAAAATATATATCTGCCTAAAATATAACAAGAAGATACTCGGCCGAACTAAAACTGGTTTATTTGCATATCGTATCTTAGGAAACATGGGAAAAGAATCATAAGAATTATGAAATTGAGCCTAGTATTGAATTTTACGTTTAAATTTTTGAAATATTAAATGTTGGCAAATACAAAGTTTTTTTTAATAGAAACAAAACCTTAAGTCTGAAGTAAATCCTTTAAAAGTAAAGAAGAAGTAAACAAGAACTACAAACAAAACAATTTATTTCTTACTCAATTTTTTCGTCTCATTTTTTACCGTCATGTGAGTCTTTTATTTCTATTATTGTAAATGTTGTTTCAGCTCAAAGAAAAACATTTAAGTTATTGAAGTTTGTTCCAATCGAAATTTTAATTGAAAGTTTATAAATGACAAAATTGTGTTGATACAAAATACAAATGTACCCGAATCAACAGATTTGCAAAAAAACATTTTTGGAAATAACGAAAATCCGAAGAAAAGAACCAAAAGAGAGTCATTCTTATCTAAAATACTTAGGCAAACGTTTATTATAAACAAACCATTTCAATCGTTAGTTTTTTTTGTTTGATTTTACGTCCTTTTCTTCAATCGTTAGTGGTTCAACAAATACTTCATGAATATGTAAAATGCAAATGGGTAAAGGTTGCCGCCTACAAATCGAGTCGGTTACAGTGCCTTCCCCTGATAACATTGCAAATAGCGTAAGGGTTCAAATGAGATGTGACTGTTGCCCTAAAAAAAGAGTCGGTAAGAGTGAACTCCAATGTAAACATTGCAAATTGCGTAAGAGTTCAAAAGGGAGGTTTTAAACTTTGTTGTGTTTGTTAAAAAAAAGTCGGTTAAGAATGACCCCTATATAGAAAAAATTGTAAATGGCGTATGGGTTGAAAGAGAGGTAAACTATTTTGCGCTCAAACAAGAGTTGTTTAGAGTGATCTCCCCTGATTAAATTGCAAATGGCGTAAGGGTTTAAAAAGAGGTAACTGTTTGTGCTAAAAATAGTCAGTAAAGAATGACCTCCCCTGAAAACGTTGCAAGAATGGCCGTAAAGGTTCGAAGGTTGGTAAACTGTTTTGGCTCTCCAAAAAGAGTTGATAAGAGTGAACCCCCATTGAAAAATATTGCCCAAAGGGCGTAAGTGTTCTAAAGGGAGGTAACAGTTGCGTTTCCAAAAATCAAGTCAGTTACAATAACTTCCCCCTGATAACATTTGCAAAATGGCGTAAGGATTAGGTAACTGATTTGCCGCTAAAAATCGAGGTCAGTAACAGTGACCTCCCTGAAAAATTGCAAATGGCGTAAGGCTTCTTAAGGAAAGGTAACTGGTGCGCTATAATAACAGAGTTGAATAAAGTGACCTCCCCCTGATAACATTGCAAAGGGCGAAAAGGTTCATAAGGGAGATTACAATTGCACTTTAAACTAGTCAGTTAGATAGTGACCTCCCCTGAAAACATTGCAAATGGAGTAAGGGTTATAAAAGGGAGGTAAATAGTTCCGACCAAAAAAGAAACAGTCAGATAACCTCCCCTGATAACATTGCAAATGGCCTACTGGTTTAAGGGAGGTAACTGTGTTTGCACTCAAAAAATACTTGATTAGAGTGACCTCCCCTGATGACATTGCAAATGTGCCGTAAAGATTCTAAAGGGAGGTT